TTTCCTGAATTAAACTTAAGCCCATTATCCAAAGTGAGGCACCACAAGAGCAGAAAAATGGGCTCCACTTGTACTCGCCATCAAATTGGTACTAACTGATCAACACTAGGGTGACCACATGGCAGAAATATTCTCTAGGGATTAGGGGGATGGGGGGTAAATCCACAACTAAAGGACACGGGGAGCACTGTAGAGGGGGAAGGGCATGCCTTTAACCCACACTTGGGTGAGTCAAAGACATAAAGTGTAGCCATAATGTTTGTACCCTCACAATACCCTGGAATGCTGAAATAAAAAAAAAAAAAAAGAATGTAAGTCCTAAATTCTTACACTTACACTTTTAGACTTTCCTTTTCTGTCAACAAGGCTTTCATTGAGGATTCAACTGCAGCGAGGTGTTCCTGAAAATCTTTAAGGAGACAATATTGGATTTCTCTATTTTGCTTTAAAGTATTAAGTGCCTGAAGCAGATTGTCCAAGTGGTGTGCTGAATATCTTGTATTGTAGAAAACTGAGGCACTTGTTTCTGTTTGCTTGAGACATTCAGTTTGTTCCAGTGGTTCAATGGCTGCTTTCTTTGCTTCCAACTGGGAACATAATTCCTAAAATCAAGTCATGCAAATCAGTAAATATGCACTCACTCATTCACTCATTAATTCATTCATTTCCTTTTCTTTCGTTTTCCCCATCAGATAACACATTCTATACCAAGATTTTAAAATATTTCATTTGCACACAGAGAAACTAAGGTCCTAACAATTTTTTTCCACTAATGTCAAAATCTAGATTGAAACTCATCATTAGTCCAACATTTAATATCAATTAGATCACTCTATTGTCTTAAAGCATTCTGCAAAGTCTAAAAAAAAGAGTCATCTTATTTTTATTATTTATATACATCACCTCTCTTTCTTATTTTAGATACATGGTTACTGTTACATAAACTTAGCTAAAACTGTGGGAGCATTTATAGTTTCACTTTTTAAAACATGGCCTGTATTAGATGTTTACATTACTTTACATACGTAGAAGTACATAAATACATAAACATAGCTATGTAAACACAGCTGTGAAAACAAAGAAAAAGGACCCCCATCACATTACCATTAGGAAAAATGAAAGGAATTTGTCAGAATCAAGAGAATACATCTGACTAAGAAATGATGACAAGTTAAAATCTCCAAATTCTGTTACTAAGTTTTTAGAAACTTGGTGAAAGAGAAAGAAAACTAATGTTCATTAAACTCTTCTACTTTTTAAATAGAAAGATTTATACAACTTACTGATTAGTACATAATTATATAGTTACCAGATTGATCACCAGGCAAAGGTTAAATAAGACTTTTCACTCTGTGCAAGCAAGTTTTTTGTAATTAAAATATATTGTATTGCACTGGATAAATGATGCAATCATGTTGTCAGTGTTTTTCATGTTTCCATACCTCTATCTCTTTTAATTGTTCATTTCTTAACATAATATCTAATTCTAAAGGTTGATTTTGCAGCTCATTGACTTTCTGCTCATCTTCAGTGTTTTTCATGCTTTCTTGAACATCAAGAGAAAGTTGTTTTGACATAACCATTTCCACAGCTGAATTCTGAAAATATAAAAGGATTAATTGCTGAATAGTCTACTTTCCAAATAAATAATTTTTATTTTTCTTGATGAAAAAAATTCCAGTTTCTTCTATTTGCTTGGATTAAAGACTTTTAAAAAGTATAGTTGGCCACTACCAAAAATGATTTTTCCAAACAATAATTAATGCCTATGTTGGTAGCCCCCCCAAAATTAAACCTTTCTGACAAGATAGTACAGGATCTAGCATTGCTCAATTGTATACTGAGGCATAATCTATGGAAACAATTTATAGAAGGAAAATGGATATGAAAAAAACAAAAGTTCTAAAGTTTATACTTATATTCACTATGACATAGAGGGCAGGGCAAACAGTAGGCATTCATCATTATCTATTGGTAGTTTAAAATAAGTGGATAGATGGAGGAAACACCAAGATTTCATGATATTAAGAATAAATTATGCCTTAAACCAATCAGTAAGAAGAATTTAAACCTGGGTAGGGACAAGTTACACATAGGGTAATTTGACCTTTTCTGAAAGCTGTTATAACCTGCGGTTCTCAACAGGACACATAGGGAGTCAAGGTGTCTACATTCACTTATTCATTCTTTCAACAAATACATGTACTAGGCACCACGCCAGTAATTTTAAAAGATGTCCATTATCTTGCTAAAGTATTAGTTTTTATTTTCTAGTTACTTCATAAATGAAAAACCATTTAATTTTGCCATATACTTTCATGTCAGTAGAATCTTTGAGATATCTAATCTGTAAATAAAACGTTCCCACATCCCCAAACAATGTAGAAAATTGTTGTCTTAAAAATACTGCCTAGATAGTAATATAAAATGTTAATAGGGGAAACTGGATGCAGGGGTATAAGGAAATTTTTTATATTATCTTTGCAACTGTTCTGTAAATGTCAAACTATTCTAAAATTAAAAGTTTATTTCAATAAAACAAATACTGTTTAGAGCTTCACCAATTTTAACTGGTAAGAGAATTCAGCTTCCCAGGGTTACTGGTATTGAAGTACTTAATTGGCACTTAGCATAAGTCACTTCCTTCCAAAAGGTTGCAAATGACTGAAATAATTTTGTAAACTTCCTCCAGTTCTGACAATTTGCTCATGTAACTATGGTAAAATCTGTATTGAGGGCAGCGTCTCAAGGGGAAAGATCCAGGGAAGGAAAGGAAAGAGGTGTCACACTCCAGATTTCATGGGCCAGTGGGCGCTTTCTGCCTATGAGCTGTGGTCAGATGGGGTAGACGCCTGCCTCCTTTCCCCGTGCTGGTTACTATTTCTTAAAGGATTCCCACAAATCCACCTGGGGTGCAAGAGACCTGAGCTAAAGGTTCAGGTACTACACCTTACAAAAGTCTTATCAATTATTAATCATCTACGAACAATTCAGAGCCCTTGGTCTCTCTTACCCGGTGACCGAATGCCTGAGGACTACGAATACGCAGGAAAGCAACAGTAACATTTCTAATGATTGCCTTTAGTGGTCAGAAAAACCTGAAACCACGCCAAAATACCGTTTACCAATCCCCAAAGCCATGTTCCTAAGTTGGCAGAAAAGCCAACAGAATCCCTCAAACGAACATTTCAAATGCAAAAGGTAACATTCCTTCGCCCCCGCCAACGAGGTTAAAACACGGATTCCAGGTCCTGATTGGCTCCTGGAATGATGACTTCACAACAGGCATCCTTTGCTCACCACCCTCTGCTATGCCTTATTGTGATTTTGCAAGCCTATTTGAAACATTGTATTTTAAAATATAAAATATTTCAAAAGTACATAGAAGAACAAAATATCACAGAGACTCATCACCAATAGCACAGATTTAAGTGATTTAATTTTCTGTATTAAAAAAATAATTTAAAGCCCAACCTCCATCCCTTTCCATCTCTTCCTCCCTGGAACCAATCACTATTCTAAAGTCCACAAATAACATGTTTTTATATTTTTACTACATTTACTAGCATTCATATGGTGTTGTTTTATGTGTTTTTAATTCTTATAGAAATTAGAAGAATGGATATATCACGTTATAGTTTGTTTTTCTCCACTCAGCAGTAGGGCTGGGAGGTTTATCCACGTTAATAGATAGAAACTTAGTACCGTCATTTTAGCTTTGTATGCTGTTCTGCTGAATGAATGAACATGACTTATGTATCTGTTAGACTACCCTGGACCGTAACACTTTCCAACTTTTCCTATTATAGGTACTGCTGTTATACACACCCTCGTATGAGTCCTCTTACCCACACGTGTGGATTTCTTTAGGATATTTGCCTACAACTGAAATTACTGGTCCTAGAATATACGTCTTTTGATTCTCAATAGATAGTTATTGACTTGTTCTCCAAACTGAATTACAGTTTATATTCCCACCACTGTGGCAAAAAGAGTTCCTATTTTCCCAACTCCTCTCTAATATTGGTGCTAACAGACTTTAATTTCTGCCAACGTAATGGGCATGGAATTGATATTATTATTGTTTTAATGGTATTTTCCTGACAGCAAGACAGAGCTACTCTCCATATGCTCATTGGCTGTGAGTCCTGCCTTCTGTGAACTGCTTTTGTGTACCTATTGTCCATTTTTTATTGCATTGTTTGTGATTTCTAGCATTCTTTTGTATTCTAGATGCCAATCTTTTAACACTTATATATACTGTAATTATCTTTCAGTAGACTGTCTTTAAACTCTGTGTGTGGTATCTTTTGTTGAATAAGAATTTAACATTTCAGTGTAGTCAAATTTATCAATCTTTTCCTGTTCTGGCTTGTGCTTTTAGGGCCTGTTTAAGAAAGTCTTCTACACCCCCAAATCACAAAAATATTCTTTTATATTCTCTTGTAAACATTTCAAAAATTTTTTAAGTCAGCTGTTTCACCACCGCTTGTTGGAGTTTGGGTTTTCAGGCTCTTTCTGGGCTAAAGAGTTCTTTCCAGCCTACCTTATAGTAAGTGGAGAGTCCAGCATCACTTTCTACTGGTACCCAAAGATCCAAGAGGAGCTTAAAGCTGTGACTTGAGCAATGATGGACCTGTCACAAAAGCTTAACCCAACCTTGATCCAAGAAGTTTCTCATAAGAAAACTGAAGAAAATTCCCAGGACAATTCAGAGGCTTCTCATCCCATCTGCTCAGAAATGTTAATAAAGAACCTTAGTGGCCAGACGCAGTGTTGCGCCTATAATCCTTTCACTTTGGGAGGACAAGTTGAGAGGATTACTTCAAGCCAGGAGTTTAAGATCAGCCTGGACAGCACGGCAAGACCCTATCTCTAAAGAAATTTTAAAAAAATTAGCCAGGTGTGGTGGTGTACACCCATAGTTCTAGACACTTGGGAGGCTGAGCCAGGAGGATGGCTTGAGCCCAGGAGTTTGAGGTTGCAGTGAGCTATGACAATGCCACTGTACTCTAGTCTAAGCAACAGAGTAAGACCCTGTCTCAAAAAAATAAAAATAAAGAACCTTAGTAACTTCATTCTCAACTTTGGTACAAAATTCCCTTCCCCTCTACCAGAAGTTCATCCCAATGGCAGAATAGAAGAGAAAAGATCTTCCAGGAGATCAGAGATGGCTTGCCTTACAGGAGAAAAGGAGTAAGGACTTTGTTACCTGTGCAGAACGAAAGGATGGTAAAATTGATACCTCTTACTCAATAGATTTTTCTCAGCTTAAAGGAAAACTAATAATGTGCTTAAGGGAGTTCAGAATGAATCAAGAAATGGACCATTCAAATGTGGCCACAGTTACTGCATTTATCATGGACAGGACCCTTCTGAGAATGTTAGATTAGGGGATTATGACACAGAGCCAATTTAGCCATAATGCTTATTCTTGTACTTTTCTTTCTTGCTGGTAAGTTTATGAAGCAGGCTGAGAAAGCTACTCTATGCTAGGATAAACTATATGCCAATATTTTTTCATGTAATTGAATAATTAAGTTAATTAACTCTTTATGTAATGACTATTTTTTGGTTTATTTAAGTTCCATGTGGTTATTTTCCAAGTCTATCCTTTTTTTCTCAAAGTCCTTTATTCTTTCCTTATGATCTCCATTTCTTCTTTTATATCACTAATCATTTTAAACATGTTGTTGTATAGTATCTTTCAGATTGCTGCATTATCTCACTTCCTTAGTGTATTAATTTCTCTCATTTGATGGGACGAGTACTCTTCCTTGTGGTAGAGCATTCCTTTGTGCTACTTATTTATTTACTTACTTGTTCTTACTAACTCTTTGTTACCAAACTTTTTTATTCTCATGCAGGACTTTTTCCTGTCAGTTAGAGAAAGGAGCTTCCTAGTCCCTTCTCTGACTTAGAAGTGCTCTCCCCAAAGGTACAAGCTTTTCCAGGGCCTCTGTCTATTACGGAGTATCCACCAAAACAAGGCCTCTCATGATCCCTTATAAACTCTAAACCCCTTGGCATCTGATTTTTTCCTTTCCCCACTGTTGCTGGAATTTCTCTTCTTAAAAAAACAAAACAAAACTATAATTAGCATAAATTCAAGACAAAGTATAACTTTTAAACAGTGTATGAAAGTTTACATATTGAGCCTCCAAGCATAAGTGAAATTTTCAAAGTTAATAATAAACTTAAGTGGAAAATTATCATTCTATCAAAAGCATGGTTGGGTCAAACTGCCAATTATTTTTTTTTTTTAAATGTTGCTTTTTTTCCAACCACTTATCTTTCCTTTGATTTTGGCCTGTTTGAAAAACAACAGAAGGTGAGAGTAAGAATATCATCAACTCTTATTAAGAGCAGGACCATGACATGTTCATCTTTTATCCCTTAATTCACAAAGCAAACATTTTATTTTAACAATTAGCTTTTCACAAGATGGTGCCCAAGACAAGGAAGAAACCTCCTGCCCTTTCTAAGCCAATGTCAAAGCGAAGGCTTTAAAAGCCAAAAAGGCAGTGTTGAAAGGCGTCTACAGACACACATAAAAAACAGATCCCCACATCACCCACCTTCCATCAGCAAACATATCAGCACAGCAGAAAGAGGCAAGTTAATAACAGCTTCGATATCCCTTTTCCCATTCAGGGGCAATGGCCCATGGCTATGGTAACTTGTGACAGCCAGAAACCTAAATCTATCACTTGTAACCTGCCAACAGTGGGGCAGAGTATCATAGGAGCTCTAGAAGATACAGTTCCTTTTTCTCTAAAGCCTTCTACTGTAGAGCAGTGAAAAACAATTCTAAGCATGCATGTATCACTATCACAGACAAAACTAAAAGGCAGATCACCATAGCCTCAGAGGCTGCCTGTTTCTCTTCGTATAACATCTAGAATGTTGACGTGACCAACAAAACACAGCCAGCCACACCTACCTCTCAGGCCTCATCTCTGTCACTTTCCTCTGTCCTCTACATTCCAGCTACAGGGCACTTAATCAGTTTCTGAAAGTCATGCTCTCTACACCACAGGAGGAAAGAAAATACCCAGCCCTGAGCTCTGTTAGTTCCAACAGATGATTTAGTCTTAGTTCAAATTTTGCTTCCTGAGAGAAGCTCTCTGTGACCCTATAGTTTAGGTCAGATTCCTTTGTTAAAGGTTATTGTGAAACTGGGTTCCTTCCTTTAGTTCCTATAATTAGACTCTCATTCGTGTAATTAGTTGGTTAACGTATGAATCCCCAACTAGACTAGAAGCTCTATGAGAACAGAGACCATGTCTATGTCTGAATCCTCATTGCCCATTCAATAAATTTTTAGACAACGGATGTACAGATTCATTCAAACCAGAGAAAAAATAAGAGAAGTTTATTTAGTCTTCCACTGTCAGTAATTTGTGGGTTTTTGAATGGAGTGAAAAGAAATTGAGGACCTGTCAATCTAGCACTTGTTGACCAGGTATCTGTTAGGAATTACAGGAACAGGGTTTAATTGGGGATGAAAGAAAGTGGAGAAAGTTTGAAACAAAGGCTGGAATAACTCTAATTTATAGGATAAGTCATCTTATAAATCTTGGATTATGAAAAATATCTCTAGCCAGAAAGGGCAAAGTAGGACACTCTAGTTAACATGTGGCTCAACTCTGTGCTCCATTATAAATTTTCTTTTTTTTTTTTTACTAAGCTACCAGGGTAAACAAGACCAGAAACAGACATCATTTTTCCCAGGATTGAAAACTCTCCTACAAGCAGTTTCCTTCTCATTCTAGCTCTGACTCCACACTTTATTCCTGCCCACTTACACACAGCTGGAAGCCACCCGCATTTTGCCTATATGTGTGATCATCTACCTTCCAGGATTTATCTACAGATGCCTTCTTAACCATTAAATTATACATGCTCAGAACTTTTTGAAAAGAACAAAAAACAATTGAGAATTACTAACAATTATACCCAATGACAAGGAAATTAAAGAAGTAATTACAGACAAAAGGTTTTGAGTGTTTAAAAAAGCAATTATTTCATGTAGGTTGTCATATGGGAAGGATGGGACAGGGAAGATCATTCAATACCAGTTAAGCTGTAATGTTGCATTATAATTTCTTTAAAAAAATAATAAATTAGAAATGTATGAGTTTCCCTGTTTTTATTCTTTATCATTTCCCTTTATGGATTTCTAAAGTCCTGAGAGATTAAACAGTCCTCACTTTTCCTAATTTGTTACTTCACCTAACCTATATAGGAAGGGGGAGATGGAAGATAATTCTGCCTATTCATACTTGAAAACTCTAAGAAATCCACATCTATAAAAATATGCAGTTTGATATTGGATCATAAGCACCCATACCCTTCAGACCGAATTTGGCAACTCCTGCTGCCTCTAGGTCTGTCAATATTTCCAATATTAAAGAAAAGGTCAGCCAGGTGCAGTGGCTCACGCCTATAATCCTAGTACTCTGGAAGGCTGACGTGGGAGGATCGCTTGAGGCCAGGAGTTTGAGACCAGCCTGAGCAAGAGCAAGATCCCATCTCTACAAAAAATAGAAAAAATTAGCCGGGTATGGTGGTGCACACCAGTAGTCCCAGCAACTCGGGTGGCTGAGGCAGGGGGATCGCTTGAGCCCAGGAGTTTGAGGTTGCAAGTGAGCTATGATGATGCCACAGAACTCCAGCCTGGGCAACCAGAACAAGACCCTGTCTCAAAAAAAACAAAAAAAAACAAAAAGAGAAGAAAAGTTCAACCAAAGGTCCAGATCTAAAATTCCCCCTAAATTTCATTTAAAATAAAATTCTTGGCAATGCATTCAAATGTTATACATGCTATAATAGCAATTTTTGAAAATTGCAATCATGCTTTCAATAAAATTCTAAGATTAATAAAATTTATTAAAGATAAAGAAAAAATAAAAAATTTCCTAAAAATTTTTCTGGAGACTATTGAAGATAATCTGATAGAAGTCCCTCTAGATTTCAAAAAGATGTGTAGACTGAGCACTAATTAGATATGCTCTAATCTGTGACATTAAGCTGTGACAACTGTGACCCCACATTCTAGCAGAAAATAGGTCTCAATAAATGTTTTCAATGATTGAAGTGCTTATTTTCACTATCACAATAGTTTTAGATTAATTAGACTTATATTCAGTAAATTGTGCTTTTATGCGTTCTATGTATTCATTAAATTGAGACTCTTGCTTAAGTCACTTACACTAAGTTATAGCATTTGTTACATCATAACCTGTATTTTATTTGTCTAAGTGTATCTTTGATCTTTTACTGGTTATTGTTCAACCTTAAAATTGCTAATTGACCTTACATAGTCTAATGTTATATAATGTTACAAAGTCTAATATTACATAAAAGTAAACACATCCAGTACTTATAGTAAAGAAAATAAGAATCACAGATTCAGAAAAATATTCATGCTACTAAAGAATTTTTTTTAAAAAGTGTTGCTACAGAATTAAAACTAGTTTTCTGTAATCCAGACTTTTTTTCCTTTTGTGCAGCCCCTTAAACCAGAATAGGTTCAGAGAGACTCCTTAATTCAGACTTATGAAAATTATTTGAGGACTTAAGTCTCTCCATCTGCTCTGAAAAAAAATTATTTTAATGAAGTATTATAAATTATCAATAAACCAACATTCAAAGTAAAAGCTTAATAAATTAAAAAACCATTCTTATTAGATCATGATCTGTATATAGTTTTCAATGTATTCTACTGAATTTTGGGTTCAGTTAAAATGGGTCTGCAAAGTTAGTTTTAAAGTTACTAGGCTTATATAACTAAAACATGTGTACCCCTGCAATATTCTGAAATTAAAAAAGAAAAAAGTTATTAGGCAACTAACTCCCTTAAGCAAGGTCATGAGTTAGGACTGTGCCCTCTTATACAAGCTACCTCACAGAAAGCACTCTGGTACTTTTGCTTTTTTACTTCATCTGTTGTTATTTAAATACTGTTAAGAAAGTTTCTTTTACACTTACAACCTAGAGAGTCTCACCCACTAAGCCCTTAATCCTCTAGACATATTTCCTTATCTAACACTGTGGGATTGATAAGATTTTCTCATGGCCAGTGGAATGCTCTCTTGGTATTTAGCCTTATTTTATAGAATTCTAGAAAATTCTATCTGGTTCTTTTACTCTTTCATGCATTTCTGTTTTCCAGGAAGACAACAAAAGTACATGTTCTCTTCATTCCTGTTGATTGTGTACCCCATAAAAAGCTGATGAGAACTCACACCTGAATGGTTTAACCTTCACGACTGTCCCACTGGACCCCGGAAAGTGAGCGCTGCCTGCCAGGGACACTCTTTCAAATAAAGTTTACTAGATAGCTCTTTGTCTGCGCCTTTCCCATTTCAATCTGTAACCTATGAGAAAAATTCTTTAAGAGCCGCAGGAAAATGTACCCATTTAGTTGTTTACAATGAAAACAAAAAAACATTCTTCTCTCTCCCCGGGGAAAATGAGGAGCCTGAATGTTATCCTCACACTAAATGATCTGACAACATTTAAAAGTATATTTGCAGTATAGGGTTAACATCAGAGGAAAAAGAAGGGAAATGATCCTTTCAAAGTCTCTGATTTCACTATGAAATCAATCAAAAAAAAAAAAATTGGGCGCTTGGATTTTTTTTCCTGAGAAAATGGGTAAAGCACATTTTCTTTTCTTTTGCCTTTTCTAATTTGCCTTTGCGCTCTTGACCCAAGAAAGTGTATCTGATTACACATCACAGAGAATAATAAACCTAAATTGATGACTGACATTTTAACACACTGAACAGTAATATTTCACCACTGAAATCCTGGGCAGCTTTCTAAGGGCTCTTTTTACAAGTGGGCTTCGTAAATAGACAGTACATTGAGGATTTAATTATGAAATCAGAATGCTTGATTCACGACCCTCTTTTCAGAACCGAATACCTCTTCATTCTTGGACTGGATGTCTTAGAGAGTACAATCACAAGCACTTACCTTGTTTATTTCCCAGTCTTCCTCCAACTTTTCCACTGCACCTGATTCCTGAATAGACTCCTGAACATCAGAAGTGGTCTGCTTCTCTCCGTCTGGCAGCGTAAACTTTTCTTTCTTTTCTGTTGAGCATTCTGATTTGAGAATGCTTTTGAGATAATTTTCCATCTCCTGCTTAGCAGATTCGAGTCTGTTTTCCAAACCTTTTTGTTTACACTTAAGTGATTTTATATCATCCTTAATAATCTTCTGTCCTACTGAAGATGTATTTTGCTTGATGGATTTTGCTAAAGCTAAAATCTCCTTTAACATGCCATCTTGTACACTGAGTCTATTCTCTAGTTCCTATGAGTGGAGAAAAAATTGTTACAAAAAGCATCTCCAGTTGCCACAAGAGTTAATTGGCTTTTGTAAATTACAGAATATTTCTGCTTCAGGAGCAGAAAATATAAAATAAACTTATCAACTCATATCACATAGAAGAAACTTTGGGCAAAATTGAAACCAATATAGCATCCTAGAGCAAATAAAATTCTCAAACAGATTTTATAAGATACTAGAAAGTTTGCAACAAGTAATGCAGAAATCTCTCATAGCACAGTTCTTAGAACATAGGAAGCAATCAATAGATATTTGTTTAAAATATATTTTGTGCAAGATACAGCCTTTTCATACAAACAAAACACAAAATAATAAGTGCCTACTATGTGCAAAGTATTACAAAAGGAATAAAAGAATCATTTAGAATGTGCTCATGAATCTAGTGCTAATATTTAAAATTCAGACAGGGCACAGTGGCTCATGCCTGCAATCCCAGCACTTTGGGAGGTGAAGGTGAGAGGATGACTTGAGCCCAGGGGTTTGAGGTTGCAGTGAGCTATGACTGTACCACTGTACTCCAGCCTGGGTGACAGAGTGAGACCCTGTCTCTAAAAAATTTTTTTAAAACTTTTTTAAACATTAAAAAAAAAATTAAAAAGGGATGCAAACTTGTCTCAATGTCAGGCTACTCTGGAGGAGAAGTCTTGCTGGGTTCCCAGATCCCTAAATAGAAGAGATGAGAAATTTCCAAGCTCATGTCAGCAGTGCTATGCCGTGAGATTCACCCATGAATTTCCCAGTAAAGGAACTGTGAAAGTAGAGTAGAAAATGCTTTATTTTGTTTTCTTCTGAAGGACACCATTCAGGCCTGCTTATGTTGGCTGTGCAAACAGTAAGAGTCCAAGCAATGTGTTTGAGTACATAGGTAAAAGCCTAGAATCCTCACTGTATAAGGTTAGGTGTTGTGGGGTTGAGAGTGAGAATCTTAGAAGCTCTGATTTGTGGAGATTTATGGAGAGCTCTGATTTATTCTGTGAGTATGAAAATTAATTAGGTAGAAATTATATAACTTCTCTCCACCCACAATGAAGAATGCTAAATTAAAACATTTCCCCAGATCTTACTGTGTGAGATGCATCCTTAGACCACTCAGTATCCCCTGGAATCACTAAGTTGTCTCTAAAACAAAGACATCCCAGAGCTACAGGCTGGTCATGGGTAAAATTGTCCCTGAGGGCCCACTGAGTCAGAGTACCGCTCAACTCAAATTGCAAATGATTTTGGCCACTAAAGGAAAATGTTCCCATTTTTTACGACTGGTCAGAGTTTTAATTACCTAAGAGCCATCTGAATAGCACTTGAATTTCTAATAGAAGACACTGATTAGTCAAGGTGTAATTAATATTAATTTTTTTAAATGTCTATCATGTCTGGACATTGTTTAATACCTGTAGTTTCTGCAATTTTTCCTCAACTGCTGTTTGATCCACAGGCTTACTGGAAAAACTAACAAGTTCCTTGGAGAAATTGTCCAATGTGGTATTCAGGTCTGTGACGCAGACCTGGTATGAGTGGTGTTCTTGAACATGGCCTTCCAACTTTTGCACGGAATCCTAAAAATAAAGCCATCGATAATTTATGAAGTACTTCTCTCTGAATTTTTTCACCCAGAAAATAATTAAATGATTCATAAATTCTTGTTTACGAGTTTCATCTTGAAATAGGAATATAGCTATAAATCATCCAAAGTTCTCAAGTAAATATTTTAGGGTTTGAGATATTTCACTGCAAAATCTCTACTTTACCAAAAAAATGACTCTTATTGAAAACACATTTGTTTTTCCCATGCTTCTTTGCCTCTGTTTCCTTCATGAAGACTATTTGTCAAGATGTTCACAAAATGAAATGGCTACAAATTATATCATTAAATCACAAACACCCATAATAAAGAAGCTTCCTTAACTATCCTTTGTACTAAAACCAAGTACCCACATTTGGAAATGAGACCAACTGAGATCAAACTAACCCCAGATTCCTATCC